TTATCGACACTCCTCTACGAAACAAGTCAAAAATAAACAACGTTGTGCGTCTTGCAAGTACATCGCAAACTATTAAAATATACATATTCCAATCACTCCGGTGTGAAACCATGCATATTTTTCTAGGTTCGAAAATAATCAGGGACGAAGCAACAGGTCGTGCAAGTCGTGCCGCGCACAAGGGACCGGGCCCCGAAGGGTCCGGTGGGTCCTGTCACTTTTTGGACACAAGGAAAAAAATCATATCACCACCAAGGATGATACACACTACTACTACAGGATGGCCTATCCTCATAAGGCCTGTGTCCTGTGTGTAACAAATCCCCCCCTCCCCCCGCGCCTATTCAACAGTTGTGATTTAGGTAGCATGTTATTTCTCGCCTTGACGTAGGCTGTTTAAACAGCTGACGTCGGAAATGGTGACACACCAATATGAAAGCGATTACCAAAAACGAGGCCGATAGGCAATCCTATTCCTGAAGGTGTGTTCTAACCGAAACAGAAAATTGTAATATCGATTTCTACAGATTTCTTTTCAGTCAGCCCTCCGAGTCCCAGTACAAGGTTGTCTGAGAGAGGTAGGTTCCCTGATAACTTTTATGACGTCATCTGGGGTGCCTTGACATAATGCAAATCCGAAGCTCCTAAAGTTAACAGGTTGTCTGGTAATGAGTAACTTGATGACGCCTCTGGGGTGCCTTATGGAGATTTGCATTATGTTTAGGCATACAGAGATCTGCAATATTAATTCTTGTTCAAGCTGTACTGTTAGTTATAACCTTCTCTTGTGATGTTGCTACCGCTGAGTACTACCATATTTCTTCTTGTGCAATAGACCAATTAAATTGTTAGGTAGGTACCTATTTCAAATTGTTTTTTTTTTTTGTAAAATGGTGAAGAATGATGAATTACGGACCCATTTTAGTCCGTAAAATGCTTCATTTTCGGCCTAGTCCATAAAATGCTCCATTTTTGGCCTACTCCCTGAAAATCGTCATAACAATCATAAACAAATAATTATACCTGGTGCACCTGCCACAACAATGCCAATGCGTAATCCAGTTTAAAATTTTTAATGTTGTCACATTCACTTCACATGGTGAAGGGGGCCCGCTGCGCTGTAGTCTTGCACAAAGGCCCGGTTTTGACTTGCTACGTCCCTGAAAATAATAGCATGCTTCTTGCTTTCTAGTAGCAAGTCGTACATCGCATGCTACTTTGGTGTGAATACCCACAAGCGGAAAATGGAAAGTTTGGTTTCATGTATTTTGTGTAGAAATAACAATATACTCGAATTCTCAACAAATATAGATTTGTTGGGAATTGAAGTCAAGTCTATGCTTGATTTGTTCTAGAATAAATAAAATACCTAATTGTTTCTTTTCGCAAGCGAAAACGTGCAAAGAAGTCGAGGTTATCAAAATCCTCAATGGAATTTGACCGAAACCTTACGTGCCTGTGCTAGAGGCACCGCTAATGCATGTTCTAGAAATTCTAAAACATCTCGAGCATCATCACTGAAATCTAGGTCCTCCATCTCTTCACAATATCAAAATTCAAGCCAAAACCAGCACTTTTTTTAAAAAATCAGATAGAAAATAAGAGAAAATGTTGAGTTTAACCCAGGGTCAAATACGCTAACTTGCCGTGAGAACGCGGGTTAACTTTTTCTTGGAATAACTTTCGAGTTAGCAGCTGACCCTGGATGGATAAACACTTGTCGCAACTTTGACCCAAGGTTATCCGTAACTCATGGGGTAACCCTCTATTGATAAACCGGCTCTAAATTGCAAAACCGTACCGATTTTGAAAAAAAATTGAAAGAGACGGTATGTATCACCTGTCAAAAGATGAAGGTGGAACCCTATCGACAATATTCAAAAAACTCAATTTGAAGCTAATTTTTCCATATTTTCAACCCCTCAACTGCAAAACCCTATGATTTAGATTTTGAAAAACTTTGAAAGGTCATAACTTTTTTTCTATCAAAGATAGAAAGCTGAAATTTTTATCCCAGTAGAGTACTACAATCCCTAAAAATTTCAGCTCATTTGGACTTACAGTTCCAGAAATAAAATCGTGCTAAGCAATTTGGGGTGATTTATCGTTTATCAATTTTTCAATATTTCTGAGTGCCTTTTTTCATCGAATCTGGCTCCAAATCTCCGAATAATTTAGTGTATGGAGTTTGGGGGATCCCAAAAAACCATTAGGACACAAAATTTCAACCAAAAAAAAAATTGAAATTTCATCCTTTTAGTACTGAGGTGGCTACCTCATGATTTCGATTTTGGAATGACATGCCCTACAGGGTAATCAAGAGGATTAATTATTTAGTTTATCGAGCTCAGCGCAACACCAGGAGAAAGATGAAAGTTGTACATTTGGACAGATTGACGAAATATCATGGGCGCGAAGTTGATCGGGACGATCAATCTTAAGAGGAGGGTAGTGTCGCGAAGCTCTGGCGGAAGCGCCAGGGTGTCAGAACTGGATAGCTAATTCTTGATTTTGCGGTGCTGTTTGGTAAGGAGGGTTATCGCGTTTATTCTGTATTTTGCAGGAATAGATTGCGGATATATAAAGTCCGGTATTAGCTAGTAGTTTTTAAGTTTAAGATTGACTGTAATATAATTTAGATAGTGATTATTGTTAAGAGTTGCAAAGAGTTTAGTTGTTTGAGTTAATTAGTGAAGTAATTAGTGTCAGAGTGTCTTGTAACGTAGAATAAATTATTGTTGTGTTAAATGGACTTTGATTTTGGAATAAACGAACCCAAGATTTCTGTCATGCAAGCCAGAGTCGTGACATTATGAAAAAATTAGCTTCAAATTGAGTTTTTATTTTTTTTCAGAAGATTTTCGATAGTTTCGATAGAGTTTGGGGGTCCCATCAAGACACAAAATCTCAAAAAAAAAAAATTGAAATATCATCCTTTTAGTACTGAGGTACTTTATGATTTAGATTTTGGAAAACTTTGAAAGGTCATAACTTTTTTTCTATTAAAGATAGAAAGCTGAATTTCCAGCGATTCTTATTCCAGTAAAAGACTATAATCCCTGAAAATTTCAGCTCAATTGGATTTACAGTTTTAGAAATAAAATCGTGTTTAGCAATTTAGGGTAATTTATAAATTTTTCAATTTTTCTGAGTGCCTTTTTTCATAGGATCCGGCTCCAAATCTCATAATAATTCAGTGTATGGAGTTTGGGGGATCCTAAAAAACCATTGAGACACAAAATCTCAACAAAAAAAAAAAATCAAATTTCATCGTTTTAGTACTGAGGTAGTTAGTAGTGAGTACTGTTTTTCTATCACAGACAGAAAGCTGAAATTTTCAGCGATTCTGATTTCAGTGGAGGACTACAATCCCTGAAAATTTCAGCTCATTTGAACTTATAGTTACAGAAATAAAATCGTGTTAGGTAAGCAATTTGCGGTGATATATCAATTTTTAAATTTTTCTGATTGCCTTTTTCTTAGAATTCTGCTCCAAATCTCAGAGTAATTTAGTGTATGGAGTTTAGGGGATCCCAAAAGACCATTAAGACACAAAATCTGAACAAAAAAAAAAAAAATTGAAATTTCATCATTTTAGTACTGTTCTCGCAGAAATCGCAAACCAAACCAGTCAGAATGAATTTCATTGGTTGAAAATAGTCAGAAAACTGGTTTTTTGGCAATTTGCACCAATCAAAAACGCTCTGACTGCTTTATGTAAAAACAAACCTATCATCTCTACTTCTGTCAATTCAATTCAATTTTATAAATAAAACAAACCACAAACTATACAAAACCTGAACCGAATTTTCGCGACGAATGTAGTTCATCAATAGTTCGTTTTGCGACGTCATAAGTTTGAAAGCTGCATCCATGCTTCCGGCGAACGACGTTCAATATGACGTCATGAGTTTCTCGCGAAAGCGTTTGTGTTCATGAAATCCTGGAAGTAGTTCATCTCGAAAATTCGGTTCTTGTCACCGTTCGAAAACCTAGAGCTAGATTTGCACACCGAAGTGTGTCCGCCCCGCACTCCCTGAAATAATAGGTCTGTTTCTGCAGAAATCACACAAACCAGTCAGAGTGAATTTCATTGGTTGAAACTAGTTTTATGACTGTTTCTGACTGTTTTCAACCAATGAAATTTGCTATGACTGGTTTGTGATTTCTGCTGAAACAGACCTAATTTCCACACCAACAACCAGGTTCTCGAAGTCAGCCCTGGGCTGGGATCACGACAAGAAAAATTCTACTAAAATTCTACTTTCATGACGTCAGGTTGCCTAGCAACCATCAACATCGCCTGTACTGTATGCGATAAATAGGTCGCAGGTGACGTCATGAAAGTAGAATTCAACTCGTCGTGATCCCAGCCCTGGTGCAGCTCGGTGTAACTTTGGTGCAAATAAACAAAGTTGATATGCTCTTTGCAGTGACAGAAGATAGCCGGGAAGAGAATTTCAAAACCCATACTCGAAGACAGTTCATTATGATTTTCGACCAAACAGGCTAAACTTAAACCGAATTTTCGCGACAAACTACTTTCATGATTTCCTGAACACAAACGCTTTCGCGAGAAACTCATGACGTCATATTGAACGTAGTTCGATGGAGCTTGGACGCAGCTTCTAGCCAGCGTTCAAACTCATGACGTCACTGACGAACTATGGTTCGTCCTTGGACGAACTACATTCGTCGCGAAAATTCGGTTCTAATCAAACATACAACTAACTATTAAACAACATGTTGATACAAAAAAGTTGAAGTTCATCTTCGGGAATACACAGTTGTTTAACCGGAGCTCCAAACACACTGCTAATACTCATATGATGAGTTTGCGTACATTCTGATTTCTGATATATTGTGTGAGTTATTTCTCTATTATTTGTACAATCTTGAATCTATCTAGTGCACCACCATTGTGCAACAATGGAAGTAAAAGAAAACCCCTAATGGCGTTATTGACCCTGTCTGACTTATTATTGCGCATTGACGTTGTTGACGTATTCTCCTTCAATTCCATATTCAATAATCACGTGGTTCACAAAAATTAAGTTCCTGGACGGCGCTGGGGCAACTTAACGTCTTTGCAACGAATAATTGGAATCCCTTGTATAAAATGTATTAATCTTTTGGTTTTTGTTCCAGGAAGTGTTTCCAAATAAAGGTAAGCAAATCAAAACACTACATCTGTATTTTTCTAGGGGCAGGCTTTTTTAAAATCTTTGTTGCCTAAAGGAAAATTTTTCCAATCATTTTGGGGTAACAAAAATGTACTCCATTATTCTAAAACATGATTAGTAAAATTCGATTAATCAAAATCAAATGATTGTTATAATTTTGATATATTTTAATTAAGTAGTATCTAATAGGCCAATCCAAACAAAATGGCGGCCAGCCCAAAAAATTGGCGCTAAAAAATTGGCTCCATACATTTAATTCAAACAACCGTGACATTTTTCATCAAAAAACTGTTTTTTGTGTATTTTGTGGTGTTTTTAGATGATTTTCTAGTGCTTGGAAGGATAATTATTTTCGTGTTTTAAGATGGAGAGTTTTTAGTTTGGGAAATTATTAGTGGAAACTCCGGATGTTTGTAAAAGTTATGATTTCTTTGTGACAAACCTTTACCTATTTACTAAACAATTAGGTAGGTACAATGTACTATCCAGGATCTTGAATCCTGATGTATTTTTATATTTTATTTGTCTGCTATTCAAGGTATCGACACAAGTAGTTAATGTGGAGGATAGTAAATGGCTTGGATCCATACACCGTTTATGTAGAGAGACTTTCTGGTTTTTTAATTTGGATTTCGTCAGATTTTTTCTCTTTTGCTACATTCCATGAAGCCCTTACAAAGTACATAGTTACAAATCGTTTTTCTGTGTTAGAAACTTGTGTTTTGTCTCTGCAGGAACGGCATGAAACGAGAATTTTTCGCGATTAGAACGGCTTCCACAACTAAGTACGATACATAGCGTATGCATTTTACAAAAAATCAACACTTTACCTACAGACTTTATACAAATCAAAAATCACAATAAAACGGCATTTTTTTATATTAAAAAGGCATCAACCTCTATTTTGAATTCCTTTTTGACAGGTCGTTGGATTGCCCTATTGGTTTCTCAGTAATATACCTGACCTTAACCTTCAATTGATCCCCATATAACAATATATAAGTAATTAGCCAGAACGCTATTATTTTTGGAGATAAAGGAAATTCTGTTGTAGCCATTCCCAAAGATCAATATTTTCGAAATACATTAGATTTAGGCCCGGTTTATTCATCTTCAGATAAACTTGCTGATAATAATCTGCAAGATAACTTTCCGTTCTATAACTCTATTGGTCGGCGGATAACTGGCCGACCAATGGGATTACAGATTGCGTTTTTATCCGTCAGATTGCATACCTGAAGTTTATCAAGGTGAATAAACCAGCAAATTTTAATGAAACTAGTCAATTTTTTAAAACAAAATCCTCGACAAAATCTAACAGTTTTGAAGAATTCCTGGGTGAAATTGCATAAAAATGACTATCCAAGTAGACCAGTGGTGTCTTTTATTGGCGTCTTTTCTCCCTCCTCTAAACCCTCCAAAAAAAAAATTCAGCATTAAAAGTTCATACGAACCTAATGCTAAATTAATTTCCTAGTGTCCCACCTAATGAAGTACCTACCTAATAGAATTAATTAACATGTAGGTACTGCTAACCAAAAATACAGTCAATACAATTATTGAACAAGATATAATATAATATAAATTAACTGGAGGTTTAGTAGCCAAGGTTTTGACGTCTCAAATCCTCAAATTTGTTGCAGGGTTTAGAATTGCTGTGCTCTTAATCAGGAAGGTCCTCCATCAAATTGAATAATTATTATTATTATCCACTTAATCAAGCCTAATAACAATGTCATCGCAAGCGACCAATCGTATCAAGAAAGAACTGGTTGAACTCACCCAAGACCCACCACCAAATTGCAGTGCTGTTCCTAAAAATGGCAACATCTACGAATGGGAGTGTCAGATCTCTGGTCCCCCTGGATCTGTATACGAAGGTTCGTATAATTCTTTCAAGTATGTCTACTTCAAATTGGACTAGTTATTTTTCAAATTAGGGGCTGGCTTCTTGATCCTCTTCACCTGAATATCTAACCGTATAATATCCATAACCTGTGAATTAATCAAACAAATAGTTCATTTTTAATAGACTGGTTATTAATGACAAAAATGCTTGATCAATTCCACACGCTATACATGTATCTCTGGCATTAATTAAAAAAAACAGAGCGGGTGGTTGCATACAAAGTAGTAAATTTATGAAATTTTGCATTTGGCCTAAACAATTTTCCTTCTATAACATAAAAAATGTTTTAGGTGGTGTTTTCATCTTGGATCTTCAGATTCCCCCAGAATATCCATTTAAACCACCCGTAGTGACTTGCCGTACCAGAATCTATCATTGCAACATCAACTACAACAATGGATATATTTGCCTTGATATACTGAGTGAAAATTGGTCGCCGGCACTATCCATTTCGAAGGTTTTACTTTCGATTTGTTCCTTATTGACGGACTGCAATCCGCGTAAGTTATTCTCACTTTGAATAATAGGCAAATGATTAAAGAGTAGCCAATATATTTACTATTATACTATCTTTATCTCATGCTCTTGGCTTTGAAATTATTAAATTTATGTATTTTTTATTTTAAGAGGATCCTCTGGTACCTTATATAGCGCGACAATATGTCACCGACCGAGCAGAACATGATAGTATGGCCCGTCTTTGGACAAAAGAGTATGCTACATAGGCTAATAAACCCTCTTGTCAAACAACACCTTCAATTTAATTTAAATTTTTCTAATATTTTATAATATGTATTAAGTAACATTTATATAACTGTTTTCTATTATCAGGAAATATTTCTTTGCGTTCGAATTAGAGATTAGGCTTATGTTCATTGTATTATATTTTAATAAGAAAGTTTTCTATAAGGTAGAAATTTGCGATTTTCAATTTAATGATACCTATTATTCACATAAGGACAATCCGGTCTACGTGGGCTAATAAACTCTCTTGCCACACAACGCCTTCAATTTAATTTTTCTAATATTTTATAATATGTATTAAGTAACATTTATATAACTGTTTTCTATTATCAGGAAATATTTCTTTGCGTTTGAATTAGAAATTAGGCTTATGTTCATTGTATTTTATTTTTATAAGAAAGTTTTCTATAAGGTACAAATATGCGATTTTCAATTTAATGATACTTATTATTCACATAAGGACAATCCAGTCTACGTGGGCTAATAAACCGTCTTGCCACACAACGCCTTCGATTTAATTTAAATTTTTTTAATATTTTATAGTATGTATTAAGTAACATTAATATTAATGTTTTCTATTATCACAAAATATTTCTTTGCATTTGAATTAGAAATTAGGCTTATGTTCATTGTATTATATTTTTATAAGAAAGTTTTCTATAAGGTACAAATTTGCGATTTTCAATTTAATGATACCTATTCACATAAGGACAATCCAGTTTATTATTATCTAAATGTTGAATAAATGAATTGAACTCCATAATTTTTTTTTTCCCATAGCTGGCTATAAAATTATAGGAAAATGGACCTAAATTAAACCATTTGTAAAATTTCAAAGTAAGTATAATTCTTTATTTACAAGTTAAATGTGTATTATCACCAATTACAAGTTTAATCTAGTGGTGATCACAGAAAATGAATATGAATTTTTACAAGTTTAGGCTCCTAAAAACGTTCTTATCGTTCAGTGAAAAAACGTTTTTATAGACCATAGAGCATTCCTAATATTAGTTTTTATTATTTATTAAATAATTAATTAATATTATCAATAGTAGGTTAATATCGGCATAATAGCTTTCAGACATTTTTTAAGTAACAAACAATAATAATATAACTCTTAAATTAGGGTAAGTATAAAAATTTGCAAATAATAAATAGTGAAAATTGATGATACGATAATAGCATGAGCATATTAATATATTCTACAAATTTAAGAAAATAACTGAATCTTCTTTGTCACAAACGATTCTTTAGGTATTGCACAAGGTGAATTTCCAATGAGAAGGAACAGCTTTTTATCTCAATTTTATAAAGTTCCCTCTTGCATTAGAAATACACACACAAAACAAAATAGAACAATGAGTAAAATAATATCGTTATAATAAAATATCTAGTCATAGCATAAAAATTTAGACAAGAAAAGTAATACCTATGTGAAAAAAATAAATAAATAAAATCCTAGCACAAAGTATTTTAGTAAAAACATCCTGAACAGAATATTATCAATATGCATATTTTTATTTGAAGCCAAAGTTTTATTCAACTCACATTCGAGATTCAAGTATGTTTTACTAAATCACAGTGCTATGGTAATATTTTTAGAAAGCTTAATTAAAGTAGCAATACTTTTTTAATGCTTAGTCTGTCACATTAAAAAATAGTTTTTGCTACACCTAAAAAAGACTTTTTGTTTATTTTTCTTTGGTTCACCACTATACATAAAGACATCTTTCAAAAAATGACATAATGATTATGTAAATCAAAAACACATTATTATATAATTAATCTTAACTAGAGGACGCAAAATACATTTTCTTGGTAATAATATAGAGAGCTGCCTAAATATTATTAATTAATAATAGTACGAATAGAATCACATAATTCAGTACAATTTTATAGTATATAAAGCACCGAACATAATATAATATCTACAGAATTAACCTGTACATTTTTTTTTTTGTACAAAAAGAAAATTGAGTTATTTTTCATTAATAATTCAATTCAATATTACAGATTGGTATGATAAGATGCATTTTAGAAACACTTGGATAAATGGGTTATGATTACATTTGCAATGATTGCTAACAAAGTGAATTAACCATGAAATAACATAGACAATTATATTGGTTACTGTTTATCAGAAAACGATAAGAACATGTAGATACTCAAATAACGCGCTACAAAAACCTGAGAATAAATTGCTGCGAAATTCATATTAACCCAGCCGCTGGGGATCACAAAAATCCAAAGCAAGTTTATCTCCAAAAAAAAATGAGCATAGCAGTTACTTTCAAACAAAAAACAATACGAGTGGAAATTATTGGGGATTTGCTGTTTGGTAATTATCTCTAAAAATAAATTAACCGTATCTGTCATATAAAATATTATTTTCAATTTTGATTGGTAAAGTGAATAAATAAGTGGAAATAAATCTGCAAAAGAAACATCTCACTAATGATATTGTGCATTAAGGAATCTATGATTCAGTTTATAAAAATTGTAACTACCCATTTCTATTTTGCCCTGCGACCTGCGACTCGGTTAAATACACAATTAAATGATTTGAGAATATTTTTTTCTTGAATCCTAAAAATCTAGATCAAGTATAAAAAGTCATAGGTAGGTAGGTACTCTATATTAAAATTTATATCGAAATGGATAAATTGAGAGGCATAGAAAACCACCCCTATATAGTCATTTATAAAATAAATTGTTTAGTTATGAAAACTCCTGACCTGAAATTTTTGATCAGGCACAAATCATTTAACTTTGTATCGGCGCAATTATTCATTACAAAATAGAAAATCTAGAAATTTAATTTACACATCACTGTCTGGATCGGTTTCGCTACGAGGCTGTCCAAAGTTTCTTGTGATGCTCTCGCTCATTGACCGAATATTAGCTAGATGCACATCACTTACCACAGGCACTGAAAAATAATTTAATCTGTCCAAGTCAGGCATCGCGTTAAGATCGTCGTCCGTTCTATAGCAGTTATCATATTCAGAATCATAAAGTGCGCTTAACGAGTCCAGAGACATCATGGCATCTGAATCAAAGATGCGTGATGACGCCCGCGATGACATGCTAGTGTTGTCGTCCATGTCGCCGTCATGGTTATGGTCGTTGTAGGCGGAGTTAACATCACTAAGAGCTCCTAAAAGAAAAAAAATATATAGACAATAGTTTATCAAAGTAGTCTATTTCTAAGTGCAGTTTATAGTTTATATATTGAGCAAAAAATAGTGGTAAAAAATGTGATGAAAAAACTAAAGAATAAATCTAGCAAATCAGCTTTATGCAAAAAACTCTTTGCAGGAATCTCCAGAAGAACTTCGAACACTTGGGAATGAAAGTCACAGCCACAAAAAATCTCAAAGGCCCCCAGAGTTCATAGGAAATTTTTACTACAATCCCTAAAAAGAGAACACACAAAATTCAAATCAAAAGTGGTGGTCCTATCACGAACTTCCATCAAGACCCAGTGGTTTAGTGTGGCTCAAGCCTATTTTGCTTCTTCGAGAGATCTTAGCTATTCAGTGAAGTCTAGATCAGTAGTTGGAGTGGTAGGTCTTCTGGTAGGATCGTTGCTCTACCATATGATACCTTAGTTTGCCACGTGCCGGACATTCTAAATAATGTGCGCAGCTGTCTCCTCATTCTCCATAGATAGTCTGCACTCGGCATCCTCTGCCAGCACAGTCCTGTCCTATAGTACAGGGCCTATCCATCGTTTTATATGGGTAACGTTCAACAAATTAGAGACAAGCTGAAATTTAATGAATGAAGGCTTTCACAGCCAATCAAATCTAGTAAAAAAGTTTTTCCGGGCTATAATGCCGTGGTCTAGTAATATTTCTACCTAACGTTTCGTCTACTGCTGCGGTAGACATCTTCAGAGGCGGTATGGTAGAGGACGAAGTGTTCTTTTCTGTGTTCCTCCGATGACTCGATTCGACGTTGTTGGACCTGCGTTATTCATATCCAGGGTTGTGGGCGTAGCTTGTATTACGCTATTTTCCTTGTCTCGTTCTCGGTCTTTGTTTTTCCGAGAACTGGCAACTAGCTTTTGTTGAGGTTCATGTCCTCTTCTTTTCTGTTGAAGTTGTTGTGGTGTTTCTGTATCTTTATAGCTTCTCTGTGGAGTCCGGTGTAAAAATGTTTGGTTCTATCCAATGCTTGAGTCTGGTCGAAACGAATGACATGGTTTGTTTGTGTTAACACGTGTTTGGCGATTGCTAATCTATCTATTTGTCCCTGCTGACAGTTTCTTTTAAGCTCTTTGACCCTGGTGTTGATAGAGCGTCTGGTTGTTCTTACATAGATAAATCCACAAGAGTAGGGAATTCTAAAGACGGCAGCTGTTTCAAGAGGTGCCCTAGGATCCTTGGCCGATCTTAGAATTTGCTGAATTGTTCTTGAGGGCTTGTAGATGGGCTTAATATTGTGTCTTTCTAGCGTTCATCCTATGCGATCTTTAAAATTTTTGATGTAGGAAAAAACGCTCTCCCTGCCACCTGTGCTGGTTCCTCGTTATTTGTGCGCTGTTACTAGTCTTATAGCTCTATTTATCTTCTGCTTGGAGTAGGTACCCATTTCCTTCAAGTGCTGATTTTAGGTGTTGCAAATTGTGGGGGATGATAGCATTGATAGCTATGTCATCACCAATACTCAGGTTCAAAGAGCTGTGGATAATGCAATGATACAGACAGTTTCACCTAACTATACAGATCCAAACCTAGCAGGGCAAAACCAGCCCAAACAAACGCATAGCAATAAGGAACCAGTTAGCAAAGGCACAGCAGCCTCTTCAGGAGGTTTGTTTCGAGGAGTACCTAGTAAGAAATGGCTGTTTTTGGGACATGTTGATCGTGGGGCAACATCACAAATAATTTTTGATTATGTTGAAGAAAAGGCCAAAATATCTGACAATAAGGTCGTGAAGGAATTGCCCACTAAAGCAAACTCTAGAAGTTTCAAGGTTGGAGTTTGTGAGACATTCTATGACTTGCTCGATAAGGTTGACTTCTGGCCACTCAACACCATTTTTCGGCCTTTTGTTTATCGTAGCAGGCAGAGGGCCCATCCAAAGGCTCTATGGAAATTTTCCCAACCAGCAAACAGTGACAGCAACATTCTAGCATTTTACTATCAGAATGTTAGAGGAATAAAATCTAAATTGCAAGCTTTAATGTGTAATGTTGTTACAGAGAATTATGATGTGATACTGTTGACTGAAACCTTTCTTGACGGTTCAGTATTAACAGGTGAACTTGGCTTTGATGGGTACTTGGTCTTTAGATGTGACAGATCAGAAAAAACCAGCACTTGCTTGTCTCTGGGTGGTGTTCTTATTGCGGTCAGGAGCTCACTTTCATGTCGTCAGCTAATCACTCCAGTTAAAAGTGTTGAACAAGTTTTTGTTTCGATTGGTGTCGATAACAAGAAAATGTTGGTTGGGATTGCATATATTCCTGGTATCTCAGGTGTGGATGTCTACGAGGCTTTTGGTCTCTCGGTTATGCACTTGGTGGACGAGAACGCCTTCACAGATATTTTTCTTTGGGGTGATTCCAACCTTCCAAAGTTATCCTGGGTGAATGGTGAAAATGGAACACTACCAGTTGGAAATCTCTCCATGGAATCTTCGACGATCTCTGACTGTGTTGCATACCTGGGATTGTATCAGAATATCCAGATTCCAAATAAATATGGTAATTTTCTAGATTTGCTGTTTTCTAACCATATGAATGTTAACGTTTCCATCTGTGATAAGCCATTACTAAGACTGGATGCTCCACATCCAGCCTTTGAATGCAGTTTTAATTTGTGTAATAGTCAGCCAAAGAATATGTCATGTGCTTACTTTTATCATAATTTTAAATGTGCAAATTATCGTGATCTTAATTGTTTTCTGTCTACTGTTGATTGGTCCCTTGTTTCTGAGTGTACTGTGAACTCTAAAAAGGGTAACTCCGAATACCCTCAATGACTCTTAATGAGGAATCCAGTAATCATCTAGAGGAGATTTCTGATATGTTTAACGATCATTTCTCTTCGGTTTACTTAGAATATGGGGATACAAATTTGTCGTTTGTCTATGATAAGTCTGTAAGACTTGGTTTTTTACAAGTGTCTGTGATTGATGTTTTTAATAAAATTTGTAGTTTGAAATAAACATTGGGACCAGGTCCAGATGAAATACCTGTCATTTTATTACAAAATTATAAATATGTTTTAGCAGAAATTCTTTGTAAAATTTTTAACTTATCTTTAAGCAATGGAATATTTCCCCTGTGTTGGAAAAAATGTTTTGTGACACCTGTTTTTAAGGATGGAGATCGTTCTGATATGAAAAATTATCGTGCTATTTCAAAAATATCTTTGATATCTAAGATTTTTGAATCAATAGTGGCAATCAGCGAGCAGCATGGTTTTGTGAAATCAAGATCAACAATCTCCAATCTATTATGCTATGAGCAGTCTCTGTTGGAACCCTTGGAGAATAAGTGTCAGGTTGATGTCATCTACACAGACTTCTCCAAGGCTTTTGACAGAGTTGATCATCGCATCTTGTTGAAAAAGCTAGAAGCTATTGGAATATATGGAGAGCTACTTAGTTGGTTTGAAAATATGTTGAGAGGTAGGACGCAGGCAGTAAAAATAAAAAGCTATATTTCATCTGAAATGAGTTACCTCAGGTGTTCCCCAAGGCGGACACCTCTCAACTTTCTTATTCAACTGCTCCATTAATGATGTTAAGACCTCTTTCCAACAAAGTCGATTTCTGGCTTTCGCTGATGATTTAAACCCATTCAGACTTATACAAACAATACATAATTGCCGGTTGCTGCAGGAGGACTTGAATCGTTTTTCTGGTATGGTGTCCCAATAATAACCTTTCTTTGAATGTAAAGTAGTCTCATTTAGCAGATCTAAAAATCCTCACAATTACAATTCTTTGCTTAATTCTGAACAGCTTGAGAGACAGTCCCTAGTGAAGGATTTCGGTGTTTGGTTTGACTCCGAACTCACTTTTACTCATCACATTGATGTAATAACCAACAGAGCAATGCGTTTGCTAGGATTTGTCACAAATCCTGTCAGATAGAATTTTAATGACTTCTGTCTTTTGCCTAGGATGGTGATTAGATTCCTTGTTAAGGTATCTTTCCCTATGCCTCGGCTTCCTATATACTCTGTGTCCGAGTTTAGCTGAGGGTAATCTTTATCAACAAGACGTCGAGAAATGCAATTTTGTTGTCCTTCTCAACCTCAATTGTAAACTGTATCCTGGGTTCTATTGAGTTTATATGATTAAGGAAGTTATAACGCAGGTCCAACAGCGTCAAATCCAGTCATCAGAGGAACACGGAAGAGAACACTTCGTACTTCGTCCTCTACCACACCACAGCAGTAGACGAAATGTTAGTCAGAAATATTATTAGACCACGGCATTATAGCCCGGAAAAAACTTTTCTACTAAGGCTGAAATTTGGTAAAAGACTTTGTTTTAGGGTACTAAATACCCTCTGAAACCCCAGCGCCGAAGCGTTGAGCCCGTCACCCCAAAACCAACCCTTAAGTAGGGTGAAATCTACCTTTTTTTACATTTTTCTTGACAACTCCAAAACTAAGCATTTTAGGAAAAAATGTCAAGGGAGAAAAATTATAGAGAAGAAAATTTCCTACCGAATAGATATACATCAGTTTTCTCTGTTCAGTGGCGTGGATATTAGGTATTTAATTAAAGGGATTTTTCTAAAAACCCCACTTATTTATTTTTAACCTTAAAATGGGCACGTTTAAGAAATGTCATGCCTTTGGTCATATCATACATCTCAAAGGTGACAGTAAAAAGGGACAGAGGATAAAAACTCGCGCAAAAGTCGAAAATGGTTTTGAGGTCGGTTTCTCGATAGCGAGTCACTCCGGGTTGGAGTTACAATGCAGTTATGCTTAATGCGGGGGTGACTTGCTATAAAAAAGTGAACACTTTCCCGCTGCGATACAAATTTTAAAAATTCCGCCTCTAATAGTTTTCAAATATTTTGGTTTTTGTCATAAGAAAGAGTGTTAGAAAGCGACCTTTCTCATTTTCCTTACAGATATAAAGTACTTCTCTAACACATTGTTTCTAATGAAAAAATAAAAAAAGAAACGTAATTATTTTTTTCTCCGAAAACTGTTAGAGATAAACCTATCGAAATTTGTATTATTGAAATCAGCAAAAGCAGAGCTTTCTAATGAGTTATTAATATATAGGGTGTCTTATTGAAAATAATCGAATTATGATCAATATCTCAAAATCGGAGCCAAATAGAAAAAAAACTGAGAACGTCACTGAATTCTGTGTAGAAAAGTGCTTCCATAAAGTTTTCACGGAAATCAATTATTTTCATAAACAAAAAAGTTATAAAGGTTTCACAGTATTGCTCAAAATCGAGAATCGCCCTCTAGCGGCTAAACGGTTAAAGATATCAAAATACAGTTTGCACTAATCAAGATCTCATGAAATTTGAGCCTCAGACTGGGGGGTTCATTTTTTTGTACCTCACTCAAAAATCGACGTTTCATATTAAAACCGTTCAAATTCGGACACCCTGTTCCTGCAAGCGAATGGGTCTTAGCTGCTCTATGACATGTGGTCAATGCAATAGTGTTACTTGTATGACCCCAGAAAGAAGACTCTTTTTAAGACACATTTTCTTTTTTTTTTCCTATTTGCATAATAAACGTTCTGGCTTATTTTGTGTTATAATTATGTCACCAACCCAACAGTTTACCCCCAAAAATACAATAGGTAACACTTTATGGTATTCCTATATATTATAACAAAAAGTGCATTTTTTATTAAATATTCTATGTAAATTTTTGCGTGACGGCAATCGCCCTAAAATGCTTGGTGTTATAAATGAATAAGTGGGGTTTTTAGGAAAATGCTCCTAATTAAATACTTTCTATCTACGCCACTGAACATCTGTATGCTTATTTGATAGGAAATTTTTTCTCTACAATTTTTCTCTCCTGACATTTTTTTCCTAAACTGCTTGGTTTTGGAGTTATTGAGAAAAATGTAAAAAAAAGGAGATTTTACCTGACTTAAGGGATAGTTTTGGGGAGACGGACTCAACGCCTCGGCGCTGGGGTTTCAGAGGGTATTTAGTACCCCAAAACATAGTCTCTTACCAAAGGACCTCGCACACCTTATATGGGATTTCGGCGATCAGTCGATTTTTTTCAAATTGTGATATGTTGTAGAGGATTTAATTCTGAACAACCTTTAAATGGGACGAAATCTTGTAGGTACTATGGTCTTTGAGATATGAGCGTTGAAAGATGACCTTTTTTGTGACTTTTTATGTGAAGAGTATACGAAATACTGGTGTTTATCAGTCAAAATTTTGACAGGTTCACATATTTTACGTCACTAACAAATGTCAACATGGGCTAAAGCCGGGACCGCACTGGCACCAACAATGGCCCCAGTACGGTCCCGGCCTTAGCCTATGTTGACATAATTTGTTAGTGACGTAAAATATGTGAACCTGTCAAAATTTTGACTGATAAATACCAGAAGCACCAGTATTTTGTATACTCTTCACACAAAAAGTCGCAAAAAAGTTCATCTTTCAACGCTCATATCTCAAAGACCGTAATACCTACAAGATTTCTTCCCATTCAAAGGTTGTTAAGAATTAAATCCTCTACAACATATCAAAATTTGAAAAAATCGACCGATCGCCAAAATCTTATATAAGGTGTGCGAGGTCCTTTCAGCTTGTCTCTAATTTGTTGAACATCATCCTGTATGGTGGCATTTAAACTTACAGCGTAGTAACACATAAAAAAAGGCCCATCTATTGTCACCAGGAGATACATTTTCATTTTTGATAAAAGTACAGAAAATGAAGAGGAGAATGGACAGATTATGGATGAAGATAAATCAGAGGCTGCCGAATGACAGAGGGCGATAAATGGGTCCCGCCTCTCTCGATTTGTGGATGAAAAATCTTATTGCTTTTAATTTTTTTCGATTTTCCTTTTTTTTGCAGTAAAGTGCATATTTTTTGAATGGCTTTTTTCAATTTGTATATTTTGGCAGCAGATGTCAATTTATTGGTTACAATAGCTCTGTTCCAACCAATGAACTATAACCAAAAACTGGAATGCTAACACATAACGACGAACTTGAAGCCTAGTGCGGCTGCTGCGGAGGGGATACCTGTTTTTGTCGCACTCATTATGTTAAATGGCGAAAATTGCTTCCAACACGTATTCCAATTGATGAAACCTGTGAAGGGAAATATGACAAAACTTTCGAAAACGTCATATGTCCGCAAGCAACAGAAAAAAACAACATTCCCCTTTGTGGCATCTATCTTTCATGGCTACATTTTTTTGGCAGATATGGCAATGTGTGCGCATTCCAGTTTTTAGCTATAGTTCATTGGTTCCAACAGACATGAGAACCGTTCCGGAACCGGTAATTTCCAATTGCCCACTTATTTTTCAATTTGTTAAACGTTTATCCTACTTGACAAATAAGTTGATCGACTGAAAATTACCATTCTAGAACGGTTCTCATGTCTGTTGGAACAGAGCTAAATAGATACATCTTGTCAAAACTAAAGTTGTAAGCCATCAGGTTTTATCGAATTTACTAAATTTATTTAATAGTCACTATCTCTTTATGAAATAGAGCATAAGTCGAGCCACCTCGAATCATATTTAAAATCTTTCACTCTAGTCATTAATGTCTGCGAAAGGTTGATTTTAATGTGAACTTACCCTCCGCATCAGTCAATCCAGCTTCGTTAATCATACTAATATTTTCTAACGCCGGATCGTCTGTAGTATACCCTGTACTTTCCCTATCATTGAGTAGTGGCTCAGAAGCACCACCGTCTTCGTCTTCGGACCATTCAGAGACACTAAGAGAAAAAAAAAATTAACTCAAAATCTTCATTTACTGTCGATGATATAAATATATTTAGTTAGAACAAGGCCATGTTTCCTTTTCTGATTTTCTCACTTATATTATTTATAGAGGGGGTCCCAAACTCTTATTTTACCCAACAAAGAAATCCGGTCGGGATTTTTTTTTTTTCAAATTGGCTGTTTGTTAAGGCTAGGTTTGTTTACTTTTGAATTCTCCAAAAATATTCTTCTTCACTAATCGATATTTGCGATAACATTTTCCATTGCTTTTTAATTCCTTGCGGTGTGTATTAACGACTGCACATCATGTCCACTGTCTGATATTTCGCAGCCAAGGCATTTTCTTTCTTCCGATCCCTCTTCGGTCTTCGATCTTGCCTTCCATCAACAGGTGCAAGAATTGGTATTTCGTGTTTCGCATTATATGTCCCAGATATGCCGTTTTTCTCTTTTTAATCAATTCAAACAGTTGCAGTCACCTTTAATGTCCAACCTTCCATACCCTAAAGAAGCACTGACCAAACGTAGCATTTAATGAATCTGAGTCTTAGGTTAAGGTCAAAATCGGACCAGGTAAGCACTCTTCGAAATTTCAAGAATGCCTGTAGAGATTGTTCAATGCGACATTTTATTTCCTGGACTGATGTCCAGTCTTCGATAAGCCAGATGCCCAAGTACTTGAATTTATCTACCCTCTCTATGGGCCTTGCGTTAAATGTTATGATGGAGTTTTCAAATATATTTGGGTTTGTGGAGATAATCATAAACTTTATTTTTTTGGTGTTGATATTTAAGCCCATTGATTTCGGATATTGTTAATCCATACCCCATTAACTTTGACTCCCACGTCTTCCAATGCCTCCTGGAAAATTGTTTCCAAATATAAGTTGAACAGGAGCAGACACAGCACACATCCCTGTCGCACCCCTCTTCTAATCTGTAACGTGTTGAACATATTGTTCCCAAATTTGATTTGCGCTGTTTGGTTCCAGAATAGGTTTTCAATGCATCTAATGTCTTTCTGGTCTATACCAAGCTCATTGAGGAGCTGCATTAATTTGGGGTGTTGTATGCGATTGAATGCTTTTTCGTAATCTATGAAACATAGGCATACATCCTTTCTCTGATTGTAGTAGTTTTGGACAAGCACTTGTGTTGCGACTATCGCTTCTCATGTACCTAACTCCTGCCTGAACCAAAATTGCGAGTCGCTTATGTCTCTTTCACATTTCTTGTAAATTCTCTGGTGTATGATTTTAAGAAATATTTTTAAAGTATGGCTTATCAGGCTAATAAGTCTATGATCTTCACATTTTCTTGCATTGATCTTCTTAGGCAGAGGTATAAAAGTAGAGTACAACCACTGTTTGGGATAGTGACTTGTCTCATAAGTAGAGTTAAATAATTTATGTAGTGCTGTGCCTCTTTCATCTAGGAGTTTAAGTATTTCTGAAGGGATTTCAGCTGGGCCAGCCGCTTTGTTTCGATATACCTTACCCAAACATTGTTCTTCTCTCTGCTGTCGAGGACTATCTGTTATTATTTACTGTTATAGTTGGTCTCATTTTTTAATATATGCCGGCAGTCTCCTTCAGTTTTTTGTGCAGGTTAAAAACATCGTGTTGATTTTGCAGTTGCTCTATCTCTGAGAATTCACGTTTAAGCCATTCGTTCTTTGCTATTCTAATCTTTGATCTTATGAGTCTTTCAATATCCTTGTACATGTTGCTGTCTGTTTTGTTCTTGTGCTTTTGACGTTCATCCATTAACAACAAAATCTCAACCGTCATCCATTTTTGTTTTTTGTTCTTTGCCTTGTATCCTAGTCTGTTTTGCATTGAGTTTGTTGCAATGTCCATTAGCTTTATTTGTCCATTACACATCTCAGATTTTACTATTGGGTCCCTCAATTTTTCTAACGCCACCCCTCGCTGTGTGGTTGGCTTTCTTTGACTTGACAGAGAGATTTTCAGGACGGCTATCAATAGTACATGGACATAAGGCATATCTGCTCCAGGATATGTGACGGCTCTGTTGATGGTTGAGCTGAATCTTTGGTTGATCAGGATGAAATCTATTTCGTTTCGCACTACATTGTGTGGACAGTCCGCTGGGAACTTCCATACCATGTATTTGTCAGTTTCACGCTTGCAAAAATATTACATACTTTAATTTAGGTCTGTCAGAAGAAAGCGTAAAAATGTATAACAGAAATATGTGAATATGTCTTTACAAACCTTCCTTCTGTTCCTGCTGCGGCCGTTGAGGAAACTTGATGCTCTTGCGACGTTGTGGTATTTATATTCTCAAGTTTATCCTGAATTTTCTCTTCTAAGAGTCTTTTAACTTCGGCCTCCTGAAATGTAAAGTTTTTGTAGAAAGTTATCTTCTGTATTTTTGTTTTTTTTTTTTTTTAATTACCAGTTCTCTGTTTAAACGCTGCACAAGAAATGAACACAAAGATTAAAAATGTGTAACTTGAACTATATTCTTTGAAATTCACATTTGGAAAAAAAGTCAAGACAAAAATTACCTTTGCAGTTTCTTCTTCCATCCTCTTTTCCTCTCTCTCAAAGCTCTCAAGATCCGTATCATCGTCTCGCGCTTGCACTTCTGGCATATCACAGTCAACATCAACCTCTTCTGCGTTCCTTGGAGCCCTATAACAAAAAAACATAATCATTAAATAAATATTTTAGACCCTGGCAATATTTTTCTATTCGAGTGTAGACATGTTAAGCCCTCATGCATTTGTGAATGATTTTTTGAGCAATAAGATAATATATGTATATTGTGAAAACTTAAAAAAAACAGGATTGCCAAATAAATATTGAATAAATTTAATTTTATGAAATATTGAAAATAGTTCAAGTACTTTTTTTCAAATATTAAATTTTGCTTGCATTTTTTTAATCCAAAATTAAAAACACAAGATTATCAATGTTGGCGAACGTATAAATAAAGCGTGTGGTTAGTGAGCAAGCAGCATGGACCAGTGTATTTTGAAGCTAATCCTCTATAATTTAGGGTAACATACAGAATATTTGACAAACATTATCATGAGAATATTTGGAGGAAAGTTTTGATACATATTATTTCTTTGGGAAACTACCCTCCAAGGATTAATATGAAAATATTGAATGCAAGATTTTTTCAATACCTAGTATGACAACAAAGATTGCAAATGCTAAAAGTATTTAAAGCCAAGTATCAAAATATTTGAGAATGAAAAAAGAAATTATCTTATCACCAACTATAGTAAAAAATAGGGGTTAGTGAAACCGTTTGTTGATTGAGGATTGAAAAAATTACATAAAATGGCTAGTAAAACAATTAAAGGAATAAAGACTAAAGGATAAATGTATCCATGATGGAATGGGAACAAAATGGGAGAATAAGAATTTCACCTCATCTTGTAGACACTAAAAAGTACCAATGAATCTATTTATCATACTCATATCTTTAAATAAAGTGAGGATTTTCTGTATGCGAGAAATCTTATAAACGTGATGTTGCTAGAATACACATCCTGTTTCCAATTGAGCTGTTTTGCTATCTTTTTTTCCGATGTCCCGATGTTGTTTCTGCATATAATGGAACTAGGCTATTGACTATATCGAAAAAAACGGGGGTAAAGCCGGTTTTCAGCTATAACTCAAAAACTAGTTTGTTAATTGAATGCAAATAGATTTACCATGCAAAAAAAAGAAAATATGTATCACGATACGATGGCAAAAAGTTGAAAAATCGAAAAAAAGTTGGCAACTTTGATGTCTATATTCTGACCAATATATTTTCCATCGTATGAACTTCTACCAGTAGCCATTTTAACGGAAATTACATAATTCATTCATAAGCATAGGCATGCTGCATTCATGCAGCAATGCCTATGCTTAAGTCGAGGCTTAAGTCAACTCAGAAGAAAGTTATAGGCAAAAATTTAAAAGAAAAATAAAAAATCAATGTTTTGATTTTTTTTCTAGTTGCTTTTTGGATTTATTTGGTTGAAAAAACAAGTTTTTGGACTTCAAAAGATGTCATTTCGATAGGAAATTTTATTCTCTACAAAAAACCTCAATATATTTATCCATCAAAAGTGCATAGATTTTGAGTTATAGCCGAAAACCCAAAAAGCAGACAAACTCACTCCGCTCTTAAAAATGCACCCCTATATCTGGTAGCACTCCGCGGTTTTATCATCTCTAGGGACCATTCGAACATATCAAACAATAAAATTCCACTAACGTCTTAGTTCCCTATTGACATAGTCAATAGCCTAAACATGGAACAACCTGTATGGAAACGTGCAAAAATTGATAAAAGAACCTTAAAGCATTCAAAATAAAAATGTTGAAGCAAAAATCTGTATGTTACCAGCAACTAATCACAAAAAAACTGAAATGAACCCATAACCAAAATGTTAGTGTTGTCCCAGCTAAGTGAATTTACAAAATACCTGTCAAGAGGCGATACTTTGGCAAGTTTATTCGACTCGGAAGGTCCGGGCGACGAGGCCCCCCTTTTAAGCGACCCTTCATTGCTGCTTGCTCGCGCGGTAGGGGACATGCACTGGAGGGTAACACTGCCGGTGGGGTTCACCCTTAAACCGAGAGCTAGAGCTTGAATGGCCGCTAGCCCCACCTGGTGGTTATTATTGTTGGGAGCGTACCTGACCAACGGCTCCAGCGCTAGGTCTTTGTTTTGTTGATTTTCAAGTTTCGGCGGGATATTTTGCAGCAAGTTTTGTTCGTCCAACAGCTTTTGGATTTCACGCTCGAACGGCCCTACAGTATTATCACAGTGTTCTAAATTGGTAACTTTTATGTTGCATGGAGATATTTTATCTCTGAACGTCAATGGAGAAGTTCTCAACTTTCTTAAATCTTTTTTATCTGTTTGGCAGCTTCCATCTTTTTTAACACTTTTGTCACTATTCATTGTAGTTTTATTTTCTTCATCCAGCAACAACTCTTGAATTTCTTCAGCTTCCTTAAAACTTGGAGATCTTTTGCAATTGGATGCTAATTTGTTACACTCCAAGATAGAGTCACTATCAGTTCTTAGTCGCTTATTATCCAAGCTTTTTTGTTTGAATAACTGCTTATTAGCACTAGCCCCACCATTGGCACTAGTTGCCCTTAAAAGCGAGGGAGGTCGCTTTTGGGGCCTTCCAACAAACTCAAAGCTCGCACAGCTTTCTCCTCTATAACTATCCTCACCATCCAAACAAGGGGGACTGGTAATTATGGAAGAATCGACGGTATTACAAGTGCCAGCAATAGCCAGTACAGCGCTTGGGGGCAAATTGTTTCTTTTAGGGTTACCCCTATCACTCGAGTTATTTCTCAATGAACAATTCGGGGGAATATAGTCTAAGGAAGCTCTAGGAGATACTTCAGGAGAGGACAAAGGATTCACTTGTATGTCCGATGGAAATAGGAACTGTTGGGTGTCAGTTGGTATTGGAGGACTAACACATGGAGAGGCATCAGCATCAGTGGTTCTACTATAACTTTCATCTGAACTACTTATACTTGGCGAATGGTTTAGGGAACTTATTTCATCAGCCGATGAATGAATTCTTTGTGGAGCACTGCTATACATTCCTCCTAAACTCTCATCAGAATAGTGACGCTGTAACGGACTATGTCTGTGATGATGAGGACTCTTCCTAGCATGTAATGGACTATTTTTAGCTTTATTACTTCTAAGTAATTCAGGAGTTTTTTCGGGCGTAGCCCGCTGAAGCGCAATATTAATAATATTGTGTCTGGGCATTAGTGGGCTAGCATGATGTGGCGGTGGTGCAGGACTCGGGTTGTGTAGTCTTCTAGGATGCCGATTAGGTGATTCTTTGCCAGGAGGCTTAGGGAGGGGTTTTAGATATGGTTTAATATTATCTACAGAAGCCGGGTTTATAGAGACAAAAGGCTGCTGAGCTCTGGGCCATGGGGGATTGTACCTCATGTCAGGTAGTTGTTGCTGTTGCCTGACGGAATTATTTGGTTGAAATGAAGATTTATGGGGCGGTAACGGAGGTGGCGGTAGACTTTCTTCAAGCATTCCACTTTTTTTGCTGTTGCCGTTTTTACCATTGGGTTTTACCATAGCTCCTGGAAGTAAAGGCTCGTTTTCGCAGCCGCCTAAAATAATATCTCGATGATTTGTTTCTCGTAGAGGGGGCAAACGCATAGCGTTTCTATAACTATCTTCTCTTGAACTTTGACGACTTTGTAGCTGCATGTGTTTTGGCCTTATATTATCGCCGTGGAGTAAGGCTAAAGGTGTGGCCACACCACCGTAGAGGTTGTTTAAATCTAAAAAAAAAAAAAAATATTGATAATTTTCGCACTAATAATATCTATTGATATTATGTTTTGCATGTACAAAATCGAATGATGCAAATTTGTGTTGGCAAATATGTATTTGAATCATATTTAGCGAATCCTTCAATTTAAAAAAGTTTAAATGAGCAAGCAATACAAATTTCATAGTTAATTTTCCTTTCCAACAATGTCGAACGATGGCATCAAAATTAATATGTCTAACGTTTTGTAACGTTGTTCAACAGATTAAGATATAAAAACAGTGTTTGTGAGTGGTTGCAAACTGGATATGTTGATATTTTTTCTACATGTTGCCTGCCATTTGCTCAAAACCGTGTTTCATGTTCACGTCAAGGTGGACAAATAGATTATACACTCTTGATTTCTCTCTGAGTATAAGAAAGAGACAAGAAAACCCAAGATGGAATCCTGGAGAAGTTTATGTCAGTCCATTGAAAACACGATTCAAACATCTCCCCTCCCCTGTCCAAGATTCCATCTAGGAGTAAGAGCAACTCTCTAAACACTAAAGCGATCTAATGGAGAGTTTGAAACCAGTGACACGGAAATCATGGAGATTGAGAATTATAATCGAGGTGTTATTACTGTAATAAATCCAACCTCTCGACTCTTTGACAAAAAAAGGAAACTTCGAAGCAAATGAAAAAAGAGGTAGACTCGGATATTAAAAGCTTAAAAAATAAAGTAGCCAGCCTTGAAACAGCAATTAACGAATTGAAACCACTAAAAAACCTAACATTCCTTTCTGAAAAAACAAAACTACTAGAAAACACACTAAAAGAAACCCAAAACAATATAGAACAATTAAAACAAGAAACGCGGAAAGTAACCTGCAAAGCGCCTACATATGCAGACATTACTGCTCTCCAAAACAAAATAGAAACTATCAAGTCCATAACAGAATCAACCAATACAAGACAAAACAGTTCAGAAATGGAAGTGACAATATCCGAGCTTATGGAAAGAGAAAAAAGGGCAAATAACATTCTTATTTTTGGAATGGACGAATCCAAAGCCCAAAACTATGAAGACAGAAACTAGGAAGAACTTGAAACTGTCAAGGAACTAATTGGAGACATTGCCACTTTGGGAGAAATCAGAGTTTTGAGACTTGGTAAGGTTAATCAAACTAAAAAAAGGCCAATTGAAGTCTCCTCGGTAGCAAAAGTTGAAGTAATAAAGATTCTCAAGGTAAAATTTAAGTTAGAAGGAACAGGACAGTATATCAAGCCGGACCTTAGTTCAGTGCGAGAGAACATACATATAAAGCACTTTCTTAGCGAACTGGAAACCAGAAAACCAAATGAACCAAATCTTGAACTAGAATACATCGGTGGAGTGCCAAAGCTTATTGCAAGTAAAGTTAACCACAAATCTAACCATCAAACCCAACAAAAAACTAAGAAGTCCGCTCACAGACATAACATTCTATTACACAAACATTTCATCCATTCGTCCCAAACTACAAGAAATCCATGCACTGATTGCCAAAGAAAAACCAAAGTTCCTACCAATTACGGAGACATCGCTCAACAAAGATATACCAGACACTTTGACCTCTATGCCGGGATACAACCTGTTTAGGGCTGACAGGAGCCTACAGGACGGCGGAGGCGTATGCGTATATGCAGCATCCGAAACAAACGGTTTCAAAATCAAGACCACTCTTAACACCAAATACATAATAAATGGAACTGTGAACACTTTGTTTTTGGATGTAAAAATATCAGATAAAAACTTTCTATTGGGATGTATCTATAGACCAGGAAGAACCACCCCACGATGAAAATACACCAGTTCTTCACAATCTACTACAGAAAGTTTTCGAGGAGAATGACGAAGTGTTTGTGAGCGGCGATTTCAATTACCCAGAGATTTGTTGGAGATCTCTAAGATTGAATAAACCATGTCAAAAAGCCACCGATTTTCTAACGTGTTACAAAGAATGGCGATATCATCAAATTCTAACCCTTGATACAAAATTTAGAAACAATCAAAGTTCTCTACTGGATCTTTTCCTGACGAGCGACAAAAAAATGATGTCATTGATAGAGGCTAAAACACCACTTGGGAAAAGCGATCACATCACTATTGCGGGTGTAGTGCAGCTGAGATTCAAACAAAATACAACAAAGAAAATAAAAAAGTGAAACTTTCACATTGCTAACTACGAACCCATTAATGAATACATCAAGAACAGGAAATATCGAACCAATTTAAGTGTCAAGAAGTACAAAGAATTTGAAAGCATTTTGACATCAACAATAGATATTTTTTTCCCTGAGAAACTATGCCGAACCAACATCCAAAAACCAACCGTGGTTGAATGCATTTTCAAAGAAATTGACCTTAAGAGAAAATTATGGGACAAATATAAAAAACAAAAATCAGACCAAAACTATATAACATACAGGACACACAACAACAATTTGAGGTCTATGATCAAGAAGGCAAGACTCAAATATGAACAAAAATGATAAAACACTTTTACTCTTACATAAAAAGAAACCCCAACAGTCAACTACACGACATAGTATTAAAAGACCCAGTAAATCAACGAATAATTGATGACCTCAGCGAAACGGCAGAGGCCTTTGCCAACCAGCTCAAATCTGTTTTCACCGAAGAATCCTTCCGCAATTTTCCCACGATGCCAGACCAAACATGTAACCCAAATCAAATAAAAAACAAGATTATCACACCTGACACAGCTAAAGACCTACTCGACTCCAAAACCCGACGGAATACCTGCCATTTTCCTAACAAAATGTGCGGAATCCCTAACACCTCTATTGGTGAAAATATTCAACAGCTCGCTAACAGAAGGCATCCTACCAAAAATTTGGACCCAGGCTATCATAATTCCAATTTTTAAGAGCGGAGACAAACATCATCCTGCAAACTACCGACCAGTAAGCCTGATATGCACACTCTGTAAAGTAATGGAAAAAATACTTGCAAAAGATATCACAAGTTTTCTACTGGAAAGTTCTATTATTCCACCGTCACAACACGGATTTCTACCACAAAGATCAACTGTAGAAAATACGCAATCAGGGTCAATGGAATCTGTTCAGAACTACACCCCGTAAACAGCGGTGTGCCGCAGGGATCAGTGTGGGCTCCTATCCTCTTCATACTCTTTATAGCAGACCTAACCAAAAGTTAAAAAGTAACTCAGTATCCTTTGCAGATGACAAAAAACTCTTCTGCAACCCATTGAAGGAATTGGATCAGTTTACAAAGTACCTCAGTACAATCGAACGATGGACTGACATGTAGCAGCTAAATCTGAACGAACAGAAACGTACAGTGCTGCATATAGGAAAAAAAAAACCCGATGATTGTTTACAAAATTAAGGGAACCAAGCTAGAGAATGTTAACCAACAAAAAGATTTGGGCGTGCACGTAAGCCAAGATCTTAAATGGGAAACACACATAGGCCGATTTGTGAAGAAAGCGAATCAGTTGGTGTACCTATTAAAAACGACTTTCACCAATCACTCTATCCAAATGATCAAAAAAGTCTATACAACCTACATAAGGCCCATACTTGAGTACGCACACACAGTCTGGAACCTGTACTACTGCAAGGATATAGAGCTGCTTGAACGTGTGCAATGAAGAATCACAAGAATCCCAACTGAAATGCATAATCTTCCATATGATATCAGATTGCAACTTAACAACTCTGAAAGAAAGAAGAGAAAGAGGCGACTTGATAGAGACCTATAAGATCCTGTGTGGACACTACTTCGCAGAACTGCATATGGCAGACATGTTTCAACAAAACATGAATAAAAACCTCAGAGGACACGGCAGGAAGCTCAAGAAAGAGAAAACATCCTTAGCGTTAAGAAAAAACTTCTATGCAACCACGTAGTACACCGGTGGAATGCATTAAACCAGGATACTATAAACACGACAAACAAAAACATTTTCATGAATAGACTGGATCGAAACCTATCTGAACTTAACTCCACCCATGTCGCAGCACTTCCTCTAAGCCAGATTGAAATTCTCAGTCAAGTAGACCTTGCCAGCCACATAAAAACTTCCTTCAAAGTTACATAGACCGAAACAGCAGGCATTGTGTTAAAATTCTGAGAAAAATCATACAGTGCAGGACCACAATGACAATGGAGACATACAGAAAGCATTGTTAATGATTAATAATATAACATAATGAAGAAAATAGAAATGGTTTATGCACAAAATACACTGTAGTCGTTCAAAAATGAATGATACAAATCGAAAAACAAATTAGGTGTGGTATTATCGACAAATAGGTTTCCTAAATTTAATACATTACCATAGAAAAGTTATAGAGTTTTTGGTGATAATCGTCCTGAAAGTAGAACAAATGGGTCAAAAAACGGAAATTGAAAAATTCAATAAGGAGATTGATATTGAAAAAGGGGGCAAAATTTGTCGCTGCTCCTCTTAAGTAGGCTTACTTTCAAATATACCGTATAAATTATAAATTATTATATAAATATAAATATAATATATAATATATAATAATATAAATAAATAAATTATACGGTATAGGGTGGGCTTAAAAAAACCAGAAATTTTGTTTTTGAGCTATAACTTTCTTGTTGTTGAGCAATTTCCTTTTGTTTAGGCTTGTTTCAAAGAGAAATTAACAGACTAACCAATTAAAGTGAAACTTTTGACATTTGAGAAAAATTCGGAATGGTGGACTTCTTCATAAGTTACCTAGTTTTTATTGTCAGAAAAACAAAAAAAAAGTTTCATAGACGACTCAAGGATGTAACAAACAAATAATGAAAACAAACGCAGACAAATAAGAATCCGTTCCTAAGAAGATCCAATAACGAATAAGCAAACATTTCGACATATAAAACAAAATGAAAATAAAACTAGCAGGCAATACCCAACTTGAAAGCATCATCATCCCTCTTAGCACTGATTGACAGAAGTTAAAACAATTGAAACATATTTAATTTTCATAAAATTCGACAATACTATAGTAGGCCTTAGCGCCTAGATGATTCTTTACAAGCTTTCTTAAATCTGCTATTCCGTACAAAACCAGAAAACTTCTCATAAATCAAACTCACAGATTCCAAAACAAAAATACAAGGTACCGTCGATAACCCCTCCTGCCTAAATGATGCTCGAACGATTCCCTGCAACTCCTACCACACAAGTAGCGGACAGAACAAACATCGATTGAACCGATCTCTGAGTTGCAAACCCCTAGAGTCCTTATTTTTGAAACAGGGAAGCAACGATCCCAGGAGAACGAGTATTCCGCGTTTCTCAATGACATGCAAATGATAATATAGGTGACAAAGACGAAACACTTGTTCCCCTGGGAACGCTGCTACCCTGTTTCAAGAATAAAGAACCACAAAGCAATGCCATAGCGTATATGTGACTCGAGATGTGACTCTATCAGCGGGAAGTATACAATTTCCGCCGCATCCTTACCAAGCTCCTGAAAAACAGTTCTGACAATGTAACAGCCTGTAGCTAGTTTTTTGGTTAGAGTATCAATGTGAGTTTCAAATTTCAGCTTCGAGTCTATTTGCAACCCTTAAAAGTTTATGGTTAGATTGCTTCCCAGAGGCCTTCCTTGAATTTTTACATTATCGAGGGCACACTCAAACATAAGTACAATTGTTTTTACCACATTAAAACACAGTTTGTTCGAATCACACCAGGCTTTTATTGCCAAAAGATCTTGCTCAATGGTTGTTTTAAGCTGATCCAAATCTGAGTTTTTTTCGTTCCATGAACAATTTGCGTCATCAGCAAAGGCAGTAAGTTTAGCTGAGCTCGGTAACGACAGCAAATCATTAACATAAACAAGGAACAAAATTGTCCATAGTACTACCCAACCCGCCAAGTCGACACCATTCAGACATACAAACTGAAACCTCTCCGAGAGCATTGAACCGTACCAATCCAAGGAACTGAGAAGTTTTGCCACAATGAAACAGTTTTCGCAGCAGTATTCCGTGGTTCATGCAGTCAAAGGCCTTTGACAAGTCACAGAAAACCGCTACAGCAACCTCGGACTCATTCAGACAAACGCACAACTCCTAGAGAAATGAAAATGTGGCGTCGTTTGTTCCTTTTGACCTGTGAAACCCGAACTGGTTTTGGTTGAGGATGCTGTTTCTTGGTAAATAGCTAAGAAGCTGCTCCTCAACAATTTTTTCAATAATTTTTGACAAGGTACTCAGTAATGAAATAGGACGATAGTTTGCCGGATTTCTACCTACGCCTCCCTGAAAAATCGGTATCACCATTGCTGTTTTTAGATGACGGGGAAATATACCTGTATTCAATGAGCAATTAATTGCCAATGCCAAAGCTTCTATCGCCGCGTTTGGCAAATGCTTCAAAATTTTTACAGGTATATCCTCAGTGCCGGAAGAATAGAATAGAATAGAAAAATACTTTATTGTCAAGAATACAGGTTCTGTAGACAAAGCAGACTATACCATAATACTTCTGACTAAAACTAAGTTGTATAAACCAATTTCAAGAATTCACCAGTAGGTACAGGCATTCTGCTTCTTAATATCCTTGCAAAATCGAAAGCTTTTGGATAGCGCTGGAAATTTTTTGTGACCCCCGGCCCCTGCATAACTTTTTCTAATAAGTTCTTAAAGTTCATCATTTTACGCTCATTTTAAGACCTCGACGGGAAAAATCGGTTGAAAACTAAGTGAAATATTGAAGTTTTTGCTATATCAAATATTAACTTTTCATATCCAGAACTAGGTAATTTTTGAAGAAGTCCGCCATTTTCAAATTTTGAAAGTTTTACTTTGATTCGTTAGCCTGTTCAATTCTCTTCCAAATAAGTCAAAACGGAGGGAAATTGCTCAACAACAAAAAAAGGTACAGCTCAAAAACAAAATTTCAGTTTTTTTAAGCCCACCCTATAGGTAATTATTAGTACACTTACTATTAACATTATTCGGATTGGTCCTAATATTATTAAGCTCCTCCACTCTCAAAGTTCCAGGCTGTTTTCTGTCAATCAAAAAATATGTTGTCATATCTCCTTTCCCTTTCACCTTAACTTTGCCTCTGCACTGGAATTCATACGGGTAATTTCTCAAAACTTGATAAACTTCTTCAGTAACTTGTGTGTGATTCGGCAGTCCTGTTGAATCCATTCTACTGGCTACGTTGACTGTATTACCCCAAATGTCGTATTGAGGTTTACGGGCACCAATAACACCAGCCACAACTGGACCGATGTTTATACCTGAAATTTCATGAAGAGTGACCATCTTTCAATATACATAGATTATTTATAGCATTATTTTTTTTTTTTTTTTAGTTCAAGCCTAATTTCAATTTTATTCCATGTTTTATTGAATAGCTTTTCTTAAATAATTTCAGGCATTGATAGAAGAGATCATTCAAAAAAAAATAATTTAAGTCCTTCTTTTGTGTATCTTTTTCGAATAATTTGAAAGTGAACAGGGAGAAAAACACTTACCCACTCTAAGCATAAAATTATTGTAAGAATTTTCATTGATGTTCAACAGTCTTTCTCGCATTGCAAAAACAAATTCAACCAGAGTGCCCAAATGTATCCCAGCCGTTGATTCATCATCATCCAAAATCCTCAAATCTGGCATGAGTCCAACTGCAGCCATATAAGTAGATCCCACAGTTTTAATCTTATCAATAGCCCTAAATCGTTCTTCACTAAGTAAATCATCAAAATCCGCTATAATTTCATTCAGAAGCCTTAAACATTCTACTCCTTGGTTATTACCGTCCAGTTCGGTGTAAAACTCATGGTAGTTGGTGATTGAGGCGAAAACCACGCCCACTCTTGAGTAACTTTGATGATACAATTCCTGTGATAGAGTATTCTGTAAGAGATGTTCATAAATTTATACTTTAGCTGTGGTGCAGCCAACATCCTGAACACAATCTAGATAATTTACATGAATAATCAAATTTTACTGAGAACAAACACATTTAAAAAATAAACACAAAAGCAAATCTAGGAAAGAAATAAAAAATGTTGCCCACACATATAAAATATAAACTAAAAATAGTTTTTGAAAATAAAACACCAGAGTATGTTTAGCTAAAAGTAATCATTTCACAAAAAAAAAGCAAACAAAAATTTGACTCTGGTAATTTAGTTTCTCACAACAAATAAAATTCTTACCATATTATTTCGAAACTGGTTATCCAAAAAATGAGTAGCCACATGCGCAGGCAACAGGTTAAATAATATCCTTTTATTTGAATGCTGTAAAGCATCCATTTCACGTTTTTCTTCGTTGGCTTGCACCTGCCATAGAAAATCTAGCCTGGCAGTCCATTCTACTTGTCTACCATGCAAGAGAACTGCCAAAACAAACATAAGTACTTCAACTACACTGATAACGTGGGCTGGAATTATTGATCTAGAAAAAATGATTTAATAATGATTTAAAATTGTAATTTATTATAAATTCTCACCCAACTCGACTGTCATAGCAATTGAAAAGATCTATATGAGAAATCTCAATAAGTAGTATATAAATTGTAGACATAATGATTAGCAATGATGCCTTAAGTAGAATAGGTAGCCTTAGGAATATGGCCACTGCTAAATATCCAAGAGCACAAGAGAGTACAATATATTGTGGTAAAGGACACGCTCTGTGGTCTCTTTCCATAGGTGAACCAGTGTCCAGAGTAATATTTTGAGTATTATGGGAAATACATGGTTCCTCTGACCTGCATGTGAACTAAAAAACAAAGATTTGTATAAATTTAAAATATTAAACCTTATCTATGTCAGCTTACCACATTGACTTGCGCCACAGTATATATCAGTACAATCGTGAACACTGTGATAGCCAATCGTAGTACAAAACTGTGAGATATGTCCCATAAAATCCATCTTAGACGCACTGCTAATAATAGTATAAGAATAGCGGAAATCCAAATGAATGCAACTAGGAATAGTAGTAAAAGTATTATCGTTCTGGGTAGTACTGTAGCCTGCAAAGTCCCGAGTAGAAGAAGTAGTACTAGGGCGCAGGCTAGGGTGGAGCTGTAGCCTACATCCAAGTCATCGTGGTACTGAAAAAAATATATAAACTATAAATGGCAATTATACTAAAAAGGATATTACATATTCCCAGTCTATCGTCTATAATATGAGTAATCGGAAAAGTACTGCCCATTGAATTGTAATGAATTTCAAATGTGATAGGTATTGGGGTAACACTGGGCAATAATGTGTTGGCAAATCTTGGAGAAAATAGATTTTTGGGCATTTAGGTACTTGGACAACAAGCTTAGATTTGTGGAGTTAAAAGCAAAATTGGCATCTGGTTGCTATGGAATCAGAGTTATGAGCAGGTAATTGAGTAGGGAAACTGTTTAGGCTCGCATATTTTGGTTTGATTCAGGCTCACCTAACATATGGTAAATGTTTGTGGGGAAATTGTACAGGAGAACTATTCAATGCAGTGTTTGTGTTACAGAAGCGGGCTGTAATATACATGTGCCGGATTAGCACTCGAGTTACATGTAAACCATTGTTTGTGGAGCTACAGGTGTTAACCCTGACATGTTTTCTGGTATAAGAAACAACAGCAATAATACATAGGAAATTTCAATGAGAAATACATTCCCCAAACAAAAATAAGACAGGACAAGATCATCAACCAGTTGTTGGTACCAGTGACAGTTTATCAGAAGGTGAATAAACCGGCCCAAATAAATATAAAAATACTTAGTGCAGATTCACCTCCTGAAAAAAAAATATTAATTACCTGTACTACAGGGTTTTCTTATGGTTCCTAAAGACCATTTTAATTTGACGAAATTGGTGATCTAGGATGTTGTGGTTGTCAAAAAAAGGTGTCTAATTTTCCACCAAGTACCTACGACAATTTGGCAAGGGCTCAAATTCCCAAAATAAGTTCAACGAAGTCTTATCTCTTAACACTACAATAGAAAGATGACCACCTTTTGTTATACTAATATTTTCAAGAACACCAAAAAAATAAACACAGAATCATAACCTCATTCATAGTGAACCACACCCTGACTCTGACCGAACCACCAACACGACAGCGATATCACAATCGATGTTCAAAATCGATGTCTAGAGATGGGCACTATCGATCGGTTCCAAAAACGCTGTGCGCCAAAACCCCTTTCTAAAGTCTAGGATCATACATTTTACATTTCAAAGAGAACAACTCTTGACCATTTATCGGAGAACAGAGTCAAACAGCTCTTCTGTTCTTGCTCAGACAAGGAAAGAGTGCACAGAGCCTAATTTATTTATATTTGTTCATTCTAAATTTTTTGTTCAAGATTGATTATTATAGGTCTGTTTCTGCTAAATTATTGCATTTAATTAAGTCCGAACATAAATGGAATGTTCCGAACAGTAAAATGGGTTCCGAGTGAACTATTATTGATTTCACATACACCTTAATTTATAAGTGGCAGCCTTCTATTTTTCAGAAAATGGATGGAAAAAAGCAGTGGAGGAGACCCTTGATCGAAGAGGAGGAAACCCTTGATTGAATTACAAAACAGAAAATTCCTACTTAAAAAATACGGAACACGGAAAATATGAAGTATGTAATGAATAATGAAACCGGAACGTGCTATAGAATAAAAAATGAAAACAGCCTGTGAAAGAATAGAAGAAACAAGAAACCAAAAATACATTTTCCTTGCACTAATTTTACCAACCGAAAACGACTAATAGCGAATTCTATTGGTAGAACTAGTAGTGCAGAAAAAAAAATGTATTTTTATCTCTTTCCTATACAAGCTGGTAGAAAAAGACATGAATACACTCAGTAAGCACTAACCGTTCTAACAGAATTCGCGATAAGAAGACAGGATTTATATTCTGTGCCCATAGCAACCATCCCATCCTTGCATAGCAACCGGTTGTTTGGGTTCTGGAAGGATCAAACATTTTTCACATTGCAAAATTTTTTGTCATTTAAATTTATTTTCCAAGTAAAATTCATTGAATTTTGGTGAATATCAATATCATAACCATGTCTGAACCTGGACAAATGGTAAGCCATTGGGGCTCTTCAGACCGCGTCAGGGACCATGTCATGGCATGTTTAGAATCTGCATTTATCAGACTGGCCGGGTCAGATTCGACTTCCCTGTTAAAGCGGTTCTTTACTAGAGAAGTATTGGAGGAACTGAAGATGAAAACTACCTCTTATGGAGCCACACTTCTTGATTGTATTGATACTGGTAAGTTGATAAAACATTTAACAGTTCACAATACTTTCTGAGTGCCATGGGACCGCTATAATCTCCTTCTACTGAAAAACAGTAGGTGCCTAGAAACAAATAAAATCTGTAGAGGCCTTTCGTTCAACAATAATACACTCCAAACCGAGCTCCAAACTAATACAAACTTGTTGACACAGGATTTCTCCACAGGATTTTCAATTAATTAGAATTTCCAAAAAAACTAAGTACGAATTGAGAATTGATCTACTAGTACCAAGGTTCCTAAAGTTAATAGGTTGCCTGGTAATGGGTAACTTGATGACGCATCTGGGGTGCCTTATGGAGATTTTCATTATGATGAGGCACCCCAGATGACGTCATACAGTCATCAGGCAACCTACCTCTCTCAAACAACCTTGCACTCGTACTATTCTACTCTGACATAAACGTTGTAAAAAAAGTTATAATGGAACAATGGGCAAATGAATTTTAAGCAGATAATAAATTCAAATTTTAATTTTAATTATAATTCAATTTGAGCAAAAGATTTGAGTTGCATTGATGATAATTTAGGCGCAATGGCACATTGTAGCAAATGTAAGGGAAATGAGAGCGATAGTTATGCACACGCCAAATGTGATCCGTGTAAAAAAATTACTATGTTCAACTTGCTCTAACCTATCGGCCTCTGAACATAGGGGTGTTACAGTAAAGAAGAGATCGCCGTATATAAGCTACTTCTGCGCTGACTGTGCCGAAGTGTCAGATGTCGAGTTGGTGGCTTACTTGAAGGGTAAACTTAGGCAACTTGTTTGTGAGAATGATAGATGTATGGAGGAAATCAACGACAAGCATACTAAGGAAATTAAAACCTATACTTCGGAAATTAAAAAGCTAACTTCTAAACTGATGGAAAAGGAATCATTTCAAAAACGTGAACGAAGACGTACACAAGATTTCGCGGATGATGTGATTCGATGTGAGGAAGAGTTCGTCCAGGAAATTAAAGAAAAAACTGATGCTTTTTCTAAACTGAGAGCCGAATTGGTATCTGTGATGAAGTATAATGAGGAGCTGAAGGAAGAACTAGATGCTATAGCCAAAAGGCACGATCAGTTGAAAAAGGATGTTGAGGATCTGAATGTAATTAACAGAAACATGGTGGAAGCAATCAGAGTTTTGGAGGGAGAAAACAAAAGGTCCGCCGAGGAGCTCGCGGATGCACTAAAGGTACGATATGTTTTGGAAGAAAGCAGCTCATCGGTAAATAGGCGGAACACAGATGCGACATTGGCCGAAAGAGTTGTACATGGTGGATGCATGAAGACGAAGCCTCAATTGTTTGTAATAGGAAGCAAGGAATGTGTGGTTGGCTGCACTGGTTTACTTAAGAAATATTCACATGCTAAATATGATATAAATTGTCAATATAATGTAGGATTTTTGTTCGATGAAATGGTAACTGAATGTGAAAGGTACATTCCAAAATTAAAACGGGATGATTATATAATATTCTTTGTGGGCAATAGTGATGCTTTGAAGGGGAGGAGTATTAAAAAGGAAGATGTGGACAAACTGTTAACTATTTCTAAAGATCACAATTTAATTGTGATAGGATCATCTTTTGCTTATGATAGAGGAATATTAAATGACTTTATACACGAAAATAATTCAATGGTTCAAACCCGAGTAAACGATAATCCAAATAATTCAGTGTTTTTCTCTTTTGATAGCTTTATGTGGGATGAGGAAAGAGGTAGATATGGGGAACCATCTTACAATAGTAAATTTCTTTTGTGTAAGTTTTTGTGTTCACAGATGCTTTTCCTTTTCACAAGCAAGCACATTGTTCCACATTCAAAAAGGAACATTCCGGTTGACCATGATCAGTCAGAGGGGAATTTTTTAGAACAAGCGACCTATCGGCGACTGTGATGCTTTTAAATATTCAGTCAATAAGAAATAAAAAAGACGAACTGTCTATTTTTCTCGAGGAACTCGGAAATCCTCAGATTCTGCTTCTGACTGAGCACTGGCTTAATGTTGATGAGGATGTAATTTTACCTAACTATAGTGTTTTATCTAAATTTTCTAGGCAGAGATTTATTCACGGTGGCACTATGGTGTTGGCTCACACGCGGTTTTTGGAGTTGTACTCTATTGTAGGTGTGGATGGATTTAATGATATGTTGGTCGAAAAAGAATTTGAGTTTTCCTTGGTACGTTTACCCACACTGAATCTATTTCTGATCTGTTTGTACAGAGCGCCAAACTCTGATGTAAGCTTGTTCATATCTAAACTTGAAATTTTATTGTCTGCGCTCCCATGTAAAGCGAATATAATTTTGGCTGGCGATCTAAATATTGATTATTCTAACATCTCACATAGTAGCACTGTCATGATATCGAATCTACTTAGTTCATTTAACTTGTGTATGCATGTAAATAAACCAACTCGTGTAACCGGAAAGGGATCGACTCTCATTGACTATGTCTGTTCCAACTTATCTGACAGTCTATTTGTGAGTTGTGGGGTGATTAGTGCTGGCCTCTCGGATCATGAGGCTGTTTTATGTGAGTTTAATATAACATGTGGTCGCGCCAGGGCATCAAAGCGTCGGGGAAGAATGTATACTAAGCATAATTTTAATGTATTTTCGCGGCATTGCCAGGGAGTTGATTGGCAGAGTGTGATTTGCTCTAAAGACCCCCTTGCATATTTTCATGATGTATTGACACTCAAATTTAATATCTCCTTTCCTATAAGAACATTTAAAAAAAGTAAAAGAAAACCGTGGATTACTAGGGGTGTGAAGGTATCGGCGCGAAATATGCGTTCCTTGCATGCAATGCGTAAATATTTATTGGATAGTATAGTTTTCATTAATTACTACAATAGATATAGAAAGATCTATAAACGTGTCATAAAAACGGCTAAACAACTGTACTACTTAAATCGCTTGGGACAATCACGGAACAAGCAGAAGGAAACTTGGAGCATTGTTAACGATCTCAGGGGGAAGAACAGAAAGCCTATAGAGTCGAATGTCACTTCAGATCAGTTCAACTCATTTTATGTGTCTGTGGCAGGTGATCTGGCACGTAATATTAGTCCTAAGAGGAGTGCTTTGGATTATGTGCAGAGCAGTGAGGTGAGCAACTCTTTTTATTTTCATCCAACAAATGCTGAAGAACTAAGACAGGTGCTCAGGAATATGAAAAACAAAAACTCTTCGGGATGGGATGGTGTGCCCTTGAAGGTCTTTCTTGCACTCCCAGAGATCTCTTTGGAGGCTTTGGCTGAAGCCATAAATGTGTCGTTTGTTGCCGGGAGGTTTCCCTCGTGTCTCAAGATCGCCAGAGTGATTCCTCTTTTTAAGGGAGGTGACCCAAATGCTCCAGTTAATTTTAGGCCTATTTCTTTGCTCCCAACACTCTCGAAAATTGTGGAAAGAATTGTGAAAAAGCAAATGATAAGTTTTTTAGAAGCCCATAACATCATAAATCAGTCACAATTTGGTTTTCAGGCTAAAAAATCCACAAATGATGCCATCTTTTCTCTGATGCAGGAACTATACATTCAACTCAATTATGGAGAGATTGCTGCAGCGGTATTCTGCGATGTAACCAAAGCTTTCGATTGTGTTGACCATGGAGTACTGCTTGGCAAGCTCGAAGTTTTTGGTTTTAGGGGAGTTGTCTTGGATTGGATTGGGTCGTATTTGTCAGATCGTCATCAGTCTGTCATTTTCGATAATAGCACTTCATCAAGTTTAGCCATAACTTCTGGAGTACCACAGGGATCCGTCCTCGGGCCTTTGTTATTCCTAATATATATAAACGATTTGGCAACTTTGGAAATATCTGGTTCCTTTACCATGTTTGCTGATGATGCTACGATCTTGTGGCACTCAAGAGACCCGAATGAATTGGCAAATTATGTAAGTGAGGATCTGGGTAAAATAAAAGATTGGTGCGATTCAAATTTCCTGACTCTGAATGTCTCCAAGACAAATGTTTTATGCTTTAAGTGTCACTTAGAGGGGGTGCTGTTGAATAGGGAATCCATAGGCAATGTCACACAGAATAAATTTTTGGGTCTCTTGGTTGATGAGCAGCTGAAGTTCAATGAACACATTTTGCAACTGTCGAGGAAGCTTTCTGGGGGTTGTTATGCCCTGAGGGTCATAGCGTCGGAGGTTAACTTATCGGCAGCAAGGGAAGCATATTTCGCTCTGATAGACTCACAATTGCGGTATGGTATATGCTTTTGGGGAGCTTGTTCTGGATATTTATTTAGTACAATTTTTTTACTACAAAAAAGAGCACTGCGTTTTATGCTAAAGTTAAAAAGAAGAGATTCTTGTAGGCTCTTTTTTATTAGCCATAAAATCCTAACTTTGACCAGCGTGTTTATCCATGAAACAGCCTGTTTGATTCATAGGAAGTTTAAAAGGGAAATTCAGGCCACTTCAGCTTATACTGTGAGAAATACCCACACCACATCACTTCCGATACCTACTTCCACCTTAACTAAAAAGTCCATAATTTATAATGGTAGGAAAATATTTAATCATCTACCAAAAAGTATAAGAAAAATAGAAGATGAAAGAAAATTTAAAAGAGAAGTGAAAAAATTACTTTTGAACAAAGCTTATTATTCAGAAATCGAATATTTTGACGACTTATTTTAGACTGTGATTTTTTATACATTTATTTTATTTTATTTAAGACCCGCTTTAATTTATGTTTTGACCTCCTGTGTAATTTTAGTATCGTCGTTTTATTATGTATTCTTTGTATTGTCGACTTATCGGTGTTTTTAATATTGTTTTACAAGTCAGCATTATATTATGTTTTAGGTATTTTTTTTCTAGTTTTTAATTCTGCTTTGTCAATGAGATGTTTTAATCTTTTTTTTTTATGACAATAAAGCTGTTTTTGAATTTGAATTTTGATTTTGAATTTGAAATTTTAAAATTTCGACTTATATCACGAAATTTTACTATAAAATTTCG